AAAGGAAACGGCAGTAAAAAAACAAACAAAACAAATATACAGTAATATAAAAGTTATATTTCAAACAAAGAAATTAAAGGCGAGAGACAGAGAAAAAAAGTTTTAAGATTTTGACGAGTCATTCATTGATTCAATAGTTTTGTTCACAAATATTGTGTAAAATATGTGTAAAAAATGAGTGCAAACAACAAATGTCTTTAACTTATTCATTAAACTTCAAAAAACTCTTGGGTTAAGTGTATGGACGAGGAAATTGATATTTAAGTCAACGTTTTGGACAATTACTGCATTCATTACCATTTTGTTGCCGCGAAATGAATAACTTATTTATAGATATTTTTCTTTGCATTTGATTTTAATTGTCGGGCGTTTTATTGTTATTGTGTTTCCGAGAAAAATGCTTTAATTGATTGATATTTTTATGTTTTAACCATAAAAAATCAATTTAAAATATTCAATAACACTGTATTGAGCTCTAAATACATGCGAAATACATACACAATATAGCATTGAATTGTGTTCATACAAGTCATACAATCCTGACGTGAATCCCATAACCATTTAAATGGCAAAAATTGTCGCAAATNACACAATATAGCATTGAATTGTGTTCATACAAGTCATACAATCCTGACGTGAATCCCATAACCATTTAAATGGCAAAAATTGTCGCAAATTGTAAATCACTTTTTCGATGGAAAAAAGCAGTGAATTTTCATTGAAAACAATGACATCTTTCGATGATTTGTGTCATAAGAGAGGAGAAGAGTGTAAAACATGGGATGAATTGAGCGATGATTTCTGTAAACAAGAATCCCTATTGAAATGCATGTATTGATAACATTATGAGAAAATGCATTGAAAAACAAGTTTTTTAACTTCAAAAAACTTAATGATTTACTTCGCGAGCGATTGTGTGGTTAGTATTGAGTGAAACGTGAAAGTCATGTCTCACTCACTTGTCATTGATTAGCATTGATTTGATTCAAAGCATTGAATACAATGTGTGTTGAGATTTAAAATACATTGATTTAAATGCCATTTTTGTATTGAAAGGACATTTAAAAATATATTTGTAACAAAAGTTGACAAAACAAACACCACTTCTCTCTCAACACTTCACACAATTCACATGAATTAGTGCTCAAACTGTTTGAGTCCAACAAATTGTGCTCTATTTTAGTGGCAATCGTTTTGAACTGATTTTTAAACTCAATTTGTTATCAATTCATAAAATTGATGTGAAATACAGATAATAACCAAACGATTGATTGTATTATTCATAACTCGTTTCATAATAACTATAATAGCGATGGAAATGAGTATCAAATGGGAGTTAAAAGAGATGTTTGATTCACTCATATCAGCGCCGAAATACCATTTGGCTCTCGAGGGATGTCTTGTGATGTGTGTCTTATGGCTGTTGTTTCACAAGAGCTATAAACCCGAGTCCACTAAACTCACCGAAAAGGTCTTCAATCTTTATAATTGATTTGGTTTTACCACTAATTGTCTCGTAATGTCTTCACAACAGGAGAAGGAAGAGCTGATCGCCGAATGGACGCCCGAACCACTGGTTCCCGACACCCCTTCAGACCATTACGCACTCAATCCACGGATTGTGACCTCGAAGTTAGGCAAACGTATTGTCATC